CCACTTTCCCTTGTTTTCCTGGTCTTTCTTCCACATTTCTGTCCACAGAGTGTAAATGTTTTCCTTAATATTTAGAAAATAATCAGTAAAAGGAACGGATACTGAATCTGTAACGTCAATACTGTTTATAGTAGGGATGTGACATTCTGCATAAAAAATAGATTTTTTATTAATCGATTATTTTTGTAGCATGAATAATCGATTAATAAATAATCGATTTTTCTTAAAAAAATAATCGATTTTTTTTTATTAATCGATTTTTTCCTAATTTTTGAATTAATTTCAAAATAAACACCCTAAATATTTAATTTTTCATAGTTTTTTAAATTAAAAATAAACAATAGAAATTATAAACACAAATTAACGTTTAAGAATAATCAAAATCGAAATTAACTTAATCTCGTTTTGATAGATTTTGATAAATGCTGAGTGTATTCCTTTTCAGTAGCACATTGCAGTATTTTTGTTGTCTTTTTAATTGTATGTAGTCTTGTGCTGCTGAAAAAAATTATTTTACTTTTAAATTATAGTGATCCATTCAATCTTTAGTTTTTGTAAAATTAACTGCTTTTATCATCCTTTTGATGTTTTACAAAAAAAATCAATGTATCGAGTATATCAATACATCTTCAAAGAATCGGATTCAATGTATCGCATTGTAAACATCGTTGTTTATCGAATATCCCTAATAGTTCGAGGTCCGGGTTATAAAAGACCAGACATAATGTCGGGAGGTGGCAGATAAAAAATCGATTATGACTGATTTTCAATTATAAAAATAATCGATTATTTTAAATATAAAAATCGCGTAAAAAAATCGATTTTTACTTTTAAAAAAATCGATTAAAATTTCGAAAATTTTTTTTTTAATAATCGATTATTTTTTCACATCCCTAGTTTATACTTTATAGCCTCACATGCAGCTTTGTCAGCTTTTTCGTTGCCGGTTATGCCTTTATGTGAAGGCACCCACATAAAATATATATTTACATTCTTAAGATGATATTTAAACAATAGGTCTTGTATAATATACAAAATATAGTTGGTTTTATATTTTACAGAAACATTACTTAGACTCTTTATCAGACTTAAAGAATCCGTTATTATTAAAAAGTATTTATAGTTATTAATTACACTAATTTGCAGTAAAGCCTGATAAACGGCAATCGGCATAAGCCTCTGCAGTAAAAATGGAACAAGATCTATTCAAAACAAAGCTTAGAGAAAACTTGGCATTTGAATCATAAAAGGCTGCATGAACGTGATTATTTCCTTTGCTGCCATCAGTATATAATATAATTATAGTGTAATATCTAATATTTTGTGACAAGAATTGCATCATATCAGAATTATTATTAATTGTACTTGAGATAATATTTACTGAATGTGAAATGGAGTGATAGCTGCTAAAGTAACATGGCCAAAGGGACTGTTTTCTGGTCTTTTTATACTTATTATTTATTTCCAGATATATTGTGGACAAAGGTGGTGTATATTTATTGAGAAGAGTTATTCCAGTTAATAATGAAGAAGGAGTAATGTCTAGGTATGGTGCAATCTTTTTAACTATGTATTTGCATATTATTAGAAGATAGTAATTTGAGACAGTACCTGTGTGCAAGTAAGAGTCGTATTAATATTAATGGCATAACTTTTGTCTCAACTTCGATGGCCCTTATGGGAGTTGAGCACATGGCACCAGATATTATTCTCAAAGCCTTGTTCTGTAATAAATCATCAGTTTATTTACATGTGGACTATTTAAATAAGCTAAGGAGCTTTAATCAAAATGACTTCTGACAATCGATTTGTATATTAAAGATAGTATTTTGGGGTCTGCACCCCATGATACTCCAGCAAGACATTTCATAATATTAAGCATTTTTGGAAATATGTTTAATATGTGATTCAAAATTTAATTTTTGATCTATTATTATTCCTAAAAATTTCTTACTGGTTACCTTGTTTATAATTTCACCATTATAAATAACATTATAGATTGGTGTATCCTTGTTGAATATCATAACATTGCTCTTGGATGGGTTAATTTTTAAATGTAAAAAGTCATTATAATAATAAAACTTTAGGGATGTTGCTTGAGGGTTGATTGCTTCAGAATTATTTGGTCGATGTTAAAATAAAACTCCCTAATTACTTGTAGAGAAGAGGTGAAGATGGAATAATGAATGATATTTATTTACAAAACTGTGTACAATTATACTTAAAAATTATCCTACACTTACAACTAATATTGACATGTGGTACCAAGATGCGGAGCGTTGGTTGGTTGCGCAGGTACCAGGCTAGGCGATAAAAACACGGCGCGGCAAAAAGTTGGCCTTTTTCTGCACGCAGCCGTCGAAGCGTACGAACGTGTTCTTCTCAGAACACTTCGATATCGTAACCTTGCGATAACGCTAATAACTGTCCTTTTCAGGACAAATTATCGTATCACGACTAAACGTCTACAACTGTCCTTTTCAGGACATATTATTCTTGTTTCACGACAAAACGTTTAACAACTGTCCTTGTCAGGACATATTACCGTGTCCTACGACACGATGAAACTGTTCTTTTCAGAACACACGACCGTATCTATTCTGATGTGTTCTTGTCAGAGCACATCACTGTTTCATTACGACACGTTAATCAATCACCTACAAAACAATTGGGATAAAGCTACATTAATACTGTCTATTGCTACTTGTAAATTATAGTTACTACTGTACAAAACGATGTCATCAGCAAATTGTAAAATATTTACATTGTCTAAGAAGTTGCAAATTTCACTAGTGTAAATATTATACAATAAAGGGGATAAGGTAGCACCTTGCATTGTGCCTCTCGAGGCAGATTTTGGACCATATAATATATTATTGTGTTTTACATACACTGTCCTTTCATTTAAGAAGTTATATATCCATTTACAGAGTTGTCCCGGTATTGCCAGCCCTGACATAACTTTCACAAGTATACCAGGATCTATACTGTTAAAGGCACCTTGAACATCAAGGAATATACAAACAGTATGTAAATTATTTTCCTTCCCATGTTTCAGATCAGATATTAAAGAGATGAAACTATCAGCACAGCTTCGCCCTCGTCTAAAGCCATACTGGACATTGGGAATGATGTGATTAGCTTCAACATACCAGTCAAGACGGACTTTTAACATTGATTCAAAAATTTTGCCAAGACATGAAGATAAAGATATTGGTCTATATGAGCTAGCAAGTTCTGGTGCTTTGTCTGGTTTAAGTATTGGAATAACACACTGTGTTTTCCATGCCTGTGGAATATAGTTGTTAAGCCAAATAAGATTGAGAATGTCTAGAAATATTTTTTGAGCCGATTAACATTTACACGATTACAACACCTGGTATGGATGACTACCCTTATCTATTGGGTGGCTTATATACCAGGTGTTGTATTACGTCTAGATTGTAAACTTATAGCTTATTCTGACCAAGTAAAGGGTTCAAGTAAAAATTTAGAATTTTGATTGTCATTGTTTAAGTTAAAATAAATATTCAGGTTACTAGTCTCACTTAAATTACTATTATCTGTTATGTTATCTAAAAAGGTTGGAATGAATTCATCTCTACATGACCTATTGCCAGTTTTAACACGTTTAAACATTTTAAGTAAATTCCAAATCTTACTAATGGGTGTTGTTCTAGTGAAAGTATTAGTTAGATTATTCCAACCAATTTTTTTCTGCTCTGCTATTGTTCTTTTTTTCTGTGCATCCTTTCTTTTATAGTTAATATAATTCTCTATGGATGGTACATTTCTATATAATTTTAAAGCATTATAAAATGCAATGACACTTTGTTCACAAATATCATTCCACCAGGGTGTGGGCAATCTACTTTTGAAACTGTTTGATTTTGAAAGTTTAGGTATTGTCATAGTTTTTAATGTATCCAAACAAGAGCAGAAAGCACTATAAGTTAATATAGGGTCATCAAAATTTATGATAAAATTATTGAAAACTGTTCTGGAAAGAGTGTTGTATTTAGTCCAATCTCTCTTTTTATATAAAAATCTGTCTACTGGTGAACCAATGTGATATTTATCAATTCAAATTCAAAAGCCTTTTATTGCCAACCTTAAATAACATTACTTTAGCTGTGTTAGTATTTAGTTTTCTTAATTTATTGTTAGTATTATATTTAATAACTAATTGTTTATTTAGTTGGGTACCCGGTTATGGGTAAAGGCCTCCTCCATATTTTGCCATCTGTGTCGGTTCTGAGCGTCCCTTGTCCAGGTGTTGCCGGCCATGTCATGTATCTCATCTCTCCATCTCATAACGGGATGACCTTTGTTCCTTCGGCCGGAATTATATCAATAGTTAAGGATATTTCTGTTATTGTAGGGTAATGATAACTTCCCATGGCATTGTCATGTACAGACCATTCACACATAGATGCAAGACTAGCACTGATGAAGCTAACATCAATAGCAGAAGGATTTCGTCTGGGTTGATTGACAGTTGTAAAACTACCATCATTCCAAATGCATAAATCTAAGTCATCAATAATAATAAATAAGCTGTGGCCTCGACTCTTACTAGATAAACAACCAAATGCTATATGGTGAGCATTAAAGTCACCACTTACAATTATTGGTTTTGGAAGATTATTAATTATACTATGTAATCTGATATGACGACTAGTAGGTGGACAGTAAACACAAAGAACAGTCAAATTACCGCTTACTGTTGATAGATTCAGAGCAGCAGTTTGAATGTCCTCATAGAATCTAGTGTTAATAATATTGTAGTTGAGGTATGGTTTAATTAATATTGCCACACCATTATGACTATTTGTAAAATTATACGCACAGAGGTCGGGTAACAACTGACTCTTTATTGTAAAATAATTAACACATAGTCTAGCAGATGGCGCTAGTAGGTATATGATATTTTGTTATACATTTCAACATCCCCATTTAACAAAATAAAAGATGCAAACACACAACAATACATATATCCATTACATATTATTTTTATCAAATAAACCAAACATTCCTAAAAAATTATAATGTTTCATTTTACATAAACCTTTAGTAAGTAGATATGCGGGCATTTCTGAAGTCGGCAAGTATTTAATTTTTACAATTTCATTAGCGACTTTTTCTCTACAAAAATGGTACCGCACATCTATATGTTTTGACCTTTTATGGTGGACAGGATTTGCTGACAACTTATGGGCTGACTGATTATCATTAAATATTGGTATTGGATAAGTTACTCCAGCTAATTCAAATAACAAATTTCGCAAATACACAGCCTCTTTACAACATTCTGAAATGCCCATATATTCAGCCTCCGTACTTGACAGTGCTACGGTAACCTGCTTCTTAGTTTCCCAAGATATTGCACAATTCGACATTCTAAAGAAATATCCTGTATAAGATCTCCTATCAATTACATTACTTGCCCAATCTGCATCTACAAAAGCTTCTTACTGATTATTACCACTAGGTAAAAACTTTAAACACATAGATTTAGTTTTCTTTAAGTACTTTAGAACCCTCTTTGCATAGGCCCAATGTTCTTTTGTGTAACAATTGTTAAATTGGCTTAGGAAATTTACAGAAAATACAATATCAGGATGTGTGAGCACAGCTATATACATAAGCGAACCAATTAGTTTCTGATAAGGTAACTTTTTATTACAATTCTCACTTTTAGTTAAATTCAATTTAGGTTCAATAGGTGTATCTGCAAACTTACAATCAGAAATATTAAACTTTAACAGTAATTCATCAATATACCTTTCTTGACTTAAAGTTATAGTACCATTCTCTTTATCCATTGCTACATCCATACCTAAACAATTTTTAATACATCCCAAATCTTTAATTTTGAACTTAGATGACAAACTTTCTTTTAACAAATCTGTTTCCTTTTGATTATTTGAAAATACAAAGAAATCGTCAACATACAATGCAATAATAACTTTTACATTTTTATCCATTTTTATAAACAAACATGGTTCTAGTTTACTTTTTTTAAAACCTAAGGATTGCAACAAATCATCAACTCTTTTATACCATGCCCTTGATGACTGTTTTAAGCCATAAATAGCATGTTTTAAACGCAAAACCTTGTTCACATTATCATGACTAACATGAAAAAATTGAGGTTTCATCATATACACATTTTCATTAAGGAAACCATTTAAAAATGCAGTATCTACATCTAAGTGACAAATATCCAACTGAAGCTGAACTGCTAAAGCAAATAACAGTCTCAAACTAGAATGTCTAACTACGGGTGAAAAACATTCATCAAAATCAATGCCTGGCTTTTGGGTGAAGCTACTTTGTATAGCTAATTTCCACTGTTCTCTTTCTGGTCCATTCAACTTTCAATTTAGAGATATTTCACTAGCACTTGTTTCACTGGTTTGACCTTCACACACAACACCAAAACCGTAACGATCAGTCTGCTTGCGTAGGCGCTTAGCAGGCATTTCCACCGGCAACATGGGAGAGTGCCTTGGCTGAGAAGGAAGCTGTGGCCTGGCTGGTACAGGCTCCGCAGGTTCAGCTGCTAGTACGTCTTCGGAGTCCTCAAAGCCGTCAGTGTCATGGCTTTCTTTGAGGCTCAGTACCTCTTTCTGCTCCTGATCTTTCTCTGGTTTTGTGTGCATCATGTTCCCCACTTCTTGGGTACATTCTTCCCTTTCTTCTTTCATAGGAAAGATATCATTTGTGCCCTCACTAATATTAATGTGTATCACTTCTTGTTTCTGGTCAATCCCCTCCTCAATCACAACAATATCTCTTGCTATTGTTACTTTGTTATTTTTGGGATTGTAAACTTGGTGACCTTTTATGTTGTCTGAGTAACCAACAAGAATACCATCAGTTGCTTTTCTGTCCAATTTTAACCTTTTTTCTTTTGGTATGTGTACCATAGCCTTACTTCCAAAGATTCGTAGATTACTGACATCTGGCTTAGTACCGGTCCATATTTCTATAGGCGTCTTGTTATCCAATCCTGATGCGATTGACCTGTTCCGCAGATAAACTGCAGTGTTTACTGCTTCTGCCCAAAAACATTTTTTCAATCCTGCATCGAATAACAAACATCTCGCTTTTTCTACAATTGTACGATTGTACCTTTCACAGAGACCATTTTGTTCCGGTGTGTATGCACAGGTTTTTTGATGTACTATTCCGGCCAATTGCAAGAAATTTTCAAATTCCTTACTGCAGAATTCTGTACCATTATCTGACCTCAACACTTTCAACTTTCTGCCTGTCTGATTTTCTACTAACGTCTTGAATGCTTTGAAAAAAGAAAATACTTCATCTTTGGTCTTCAAGAAATAAACAAATGCCATCCGACTAAAGTCATCGACGAACAACAAAAAATATTTCATTCCACCAATAGATCTGACTTCCACAGGTCCCTGTGCCCTGTTGCCAACATAGGCAGCCTGGATTGCTTCCCCTCACAACAAACAATGCAGCTAGTCTTACTAACCTGAGCCTTGTCCGAGTATGACATACCTTTTACAGCACCATCCCTCATCACATTAAGATCTTTGCTGTTTAGATGACAAAATCTTCTATGCCATACATTTCCAGACACTGAAGTCAACAAACAATCCACTTGTTTGATTCTTAATTTATAAACACCTCCGACAACATCTGCGATTGCTACAACTTCGTTATTTTTGGTTATAAATATAACAGTGCTTTTCATCAAATGTCACATTGTTTCCTTTGCTCACTAACTGGCTGACTGATAATAAATTCGTAGCCAAGTTTGGTACATATAACACTCCCATAACTGTATTCTTGTGTTCAATATCTCCAACAAGAGTCGTTATTTGCATATCACCACAGCCTCCAACAGGAACTTTTGTCTTATCAGCGATAATAATTAATAATGTCTCTCACTTGGTGTTGTTTTTTTACGTTCAACAACCAATCTTTGTTTGCAGTGTTGCCAACTTAATTTTAACGAACCCACCAATTTTGCCGTCGCAACCCACCAGAAAACCACTAAAATCCACACTAACTAATAAAATAAATGTAAGTGTGTTTGTTTATTTATCCTTTTTTCACGCCGAAAGGAAATATAGGATCGATGTGATTTTTATGTCCGCAGATAGGAGGGGGTTAGGCAAGCAGCCGGCGAGCACTATTTTTTTGTTTTTACCGCGGGAAACACATGTTTTACTGAAGTAAACAGTAGTCTATGGACTATGTCACTCTTTACTTTAGATGGATAGCATACAGCTAGGATATATTTTTTGACAATAAAAGAACAATATTGTAAATTGAATTATAAAATTCGTTTATTTTCATTACAAAAAAACTTATAGAAGACATACAAAATCGTTAAAAATCATCTTCAGCAGAGTCGGATTCCTCTGCACCTTATGATTTTAAGTACATTTCTTTCGTTCCTATTTTCTGGACTACATAATTTGGCAAGATGTAATTATTGCAACACTTTCCTTCGCGTTTTAAACCTGCGCGGATTGTCATAATAGATGACAGTAGATCTAGCTTCATTCGGTTTCTGTGTTTTGTCTTCACGATATTCATAATGCTGAATAATCGCTCTACGCATTAGAGTGCGGTAAAACTAATAAAGATATAGCAAACGTGGCTAAATCTTCAAATCGGTTTTCTCCTGCAATGTCTTCGAAATCCAGCACCTCGTACCAAAATTCCACCAGCTGTACTTTCCACCACTTCCAGCCAGTCCTTTAATTGGGAGTCCCGTAACCAACAATCCCGGAACTTTTGCGTATATTGCGGTTTTGGCATTTTGTTTTAAAAATAAACTAAACATTTGCAAACAAACAAGGTCGCTCCGATGCATAGCATAACCAAAACTACTAAGTATCTGTGTTGTGTATTTCTATTTTTGTGCATGCATACGAAACGAACACATACAAATCTCATTAATTCAAATCAAATTTGACCCATTAGTCATACGAATAAAGCCCATAATCAAAATAATTTAAGAAATTGATAAACTTGTTTCGGAAAATTCCCGAAAATAACGAACGTAATTTTACAGAGTTGCCTACATAATGACAAAATATTCCTTGATAAGGTAAACGTTTTCGTCTTTTCCTGTAAAGATATCACTCGTGCTAGTGGTTAAATGTCGTAGCATACCACTGAATGAAACAAACTAAACCACTAGAAAAATCCACTAGCCACTAAAACCAAAATTCGCCCGCTAAAACGTATATCTAAACCACCAGATCTAGTGGAATATCCACTAAGTTGGCAACACTGTTTGTTTGACGTTAAATGACAACTGGCGCCACTATCGATGTACCAATCCGATTGATTAAAATTACCGCTGAGAAATATTGCACTAAATGCATTTTTTTTTTTTTTTTTTTAAATGGCTTTTATTTGTGCCAACTGGGCACAAGGTACTTCGCCAGTGTCGTGTAGATGGAGAAGGCACGATGGAGATTGATCGGTGAAAATAATAATTAAGTTAATTTTGAATATGCACCTAAACAAAAACAAAATAGTTGCAATTCGATTGTTAGTTTTAAGACGGCACAGACAAAACAAATATGAGTGAGTAATAATAACATTATTAAATACTGTTTCCTATTTATAATAATTTTTATATATATTACACTTTAATTTTATTGCTTTCTATATATTTACATAAAAATCTACAATATGGACTAAACACAAACATTAACAAACATTTAACACTTAAAGGACGGGGGACTTTACGGGGAAGAACGTCATAGAGAGGATAGGTTAGTTTGGGACAATTAAATAGAATGTGAGATACAGTGCCTTCATCCAAGCCACACTCACAGATAGAGTGATCCCTTATCCGGAGCTTGGCTAGATGAACAGGGGTGCAAGCATGACCAAGACGAAGACGTGAGATTGTGGATGTAATCCAGCGATTTGCATTCCGATAATAACAAAACCAGGGTTGTCTTGGTATGTTTGGTTGGATGGAAGCATAAAACTTACCCCTAACCGATTTGGAGTCATTCCAAAATGTCTTCCAGGTTCTGTCCAGATATGTCTTTGCAAGAGTACAAAGATCCTGTGCTGAATTTTCAAAATGATCTAGAGAACCTGACTCAACAGCTGATTTGGCACATGAATCAGCAGTCTCGTTTCCAGGGATACCTGAGTGGCTAGGAATCCAAACTAGTATGATAGACAATCCTTTTTGATTACAAGAGAGCAGAGTCTCCCTGATTTTTAGAATAATGGGAAAACGTGATTTGCTGCGAAATGGGTTTTCTTTAATGGACATTAAACAACTAAAAGAGTCTGTCAAAATAGCTGTCTGTTGTATGTTATGGGAGTGTGCAAACAGGATTGCTTCCAATAGAGCAGTGGCCTCTCCTGTGAACACTGAAGATTCGGGAGGACATTTAAATTTCAGGATAATTCTATACCGAGGAACCCAACAGGCAGCACCAACACAGCCGTCTGGAGACAGCTTTGATGCGTCAGTGTAAATAAGAAGATGATTTGGCCAATTTTTATTAATATAGCTTTGTAATTTGATGTTGGTATCTGGGGCTCCTTTGATCAGACCAAGGTCTGTGATGATGGGAGGTTTGTATACCAGGGCTTTATAAGAAGTAGAATACAGGGGATTTATTGGAAAAGATATCAGGGGGTTAGGGAGGCTGGTGAACTTTAGATAACTATCTAGCAGATAGGAAGAGGAGTTGCGGGTACAAGGAGAATGTGATAGTTGGGATAATCGATGCCAAAGAGGGTGGGATGATAGCTGTAACATCTTGCTAACAAAGCGGTCACATAAATACTGCCGGCGGATGTGAAGAGGAGGATCAACACACTCAACCTGCAAAGCATTAGTGGGGGAGGATTTCATTGCACCTAGAATGATTCTAAGGCACCTATATTGAATTTTGTTTAGTTTCTCAGCAGCTGATTTGTTAAAGGGATCCAGAACAAACATACAGTAATCCATATGACTACGTACTAAGGCGTTATACAATAACTTTAAAGAATAGGGGTGAGCGCCCCACCAAACTCCCGCTACTGCTCTTAGTACGTTAATACCTTTTTCGCATTTTTTGATAATATGTTCAGAATGGGCAATTCCGTTCAGCCGGTTGTCTAAATAAATACCTAAAAATTTTGCTTTATCTGTCAGGTTGATTGCTTGATTTTCAAAGGAAATGACTAGAGTGGGAACGTATCTCTTCCTTGTAAACACCACTGCCTGAGATTTGCCCACTGACAGGGACAAGCCATGGTCAGACAACCACTGGCCTAGATAATACAAAGCAGAATTGATACGACAGGATACTTCCCCTATACTGCCTGAGCTGTGATAAAGGACAATATCATCAGCATATTGTAAAATATTGCAAAAACTGGTAACAGACAGTTCGAGGTCATGGGTATAAATGCTATAGAGCAGAGGGCTGAGAACTGAGCCTTGGGGGAGACCTTTCCAGACTAGTCTGGGGGGGAAGAGAGGTATTCTGATGCTTTATCAAAATAGATCTGCTAAATAGCAGATTACATATGAGATGTACCATCCTCGAAGAAACACTCAGCTTAAGCAGTTTCTGCCTGAGCGCTGGAAGTAGGACACTGTCATATGCAGAAGCAATATCAAGAAACACACCCACAAGGTACTCTCCTTTTGTAAAGGCTAGGCGAATGTCAGTTGTCAGTATACTGAGGCTGTCTGTGGTACTCATACCCTTCCGGAACCCAAATTGGGATGAGGGGAGAATATTTCTACTTTCCATTAACCATTCCAGTCGGTTTTTAAGAAGGTGTTCCGTTACTTTAGCTAAAGTAGATGACAAAGCTATGGGACGATAAGAATTTGAATCTGAAGGGTTTTTTCCAGGTTTGAGAATGGGAATGACTATTTGAGATGTCCAAGATGTCGGTATAATACCAGTTTCAAAACTTTTGTTGATTATTTTTAGATAGTAAAGTTTAGCTTTGTCATTAAGTCTAGTCAGGAAGGAATATGGAACGCCATCTTCCCCTGGAGTTGAATCTTTGAGACCATTAAGAGCGATTTGAAGCTCAGAGAAAGAAAAGGGAGCATCCATTTCATTGTTAGCCGGAGCTGGCGTAGAACTTAAAAATGAGTCCACATAGGGAACGAAAGGTGGAGCCAGTTTATCCGCAAAGTTGTTAAGCCAGTCAGAAGGGTTATTTGAAGAAGGATTAACATGGTTCAGGGAACGACGGAATCTCCTCACATTAGACCACACAATAGAGGATGGAGAACGAGGGCTAAGGGATTCACAAAATTGTATCCAACTACATCTTTTCTTCCTGGATACCAACCTTTTAATTTTAGCATCAAGCTTCTGGTAATTAATAAAGTTCACCTGAGACATACTGGCTGAGTAGGATTTCTCTGCAACCATTCTCTTACCAAACAAATCGCTGCATTCATCATCCCACCAGGGAGAGGAAAGCAGCTGATTTTTAGGAGAGTGCTTTTTGGGGATCTGGGAATCGGCCGAAGATATGAGAGAATTTAAAAAAAGATCATAGCAAGACAAGACATTTTCTTCGCATTCCAAATCAGGCAGAGTGTCTACCATGCAATCAACGGATTGGGCATAATCTTTCCAGTTTGCTTTTTTGAGTTTATATTTTAAAAGGGGGTTGTGGTAAGAGGGGGGTAAGGATTTGTTATTTAATGAAATAATTACAGGAAAATGATCACTGCCATAGGTGAACTCAAGGGCGTTCCAAGTTAGTTGCGAGGCTAGGTTAGGGGAACAGAGGGTGAGATCCACTGCAGATTTGGGATTCTGATTAGGGTATACCCTGCGAGTTGGAGAGCCATCATTGAGGATGCAGAGATTGACATCGTCGAGTAAGTCAATCAGCAGTGGAGCAAACCTATCACTAGCATGGCACCCCCACATAGTGTGATGGGTGTTAAAGTCACCCATGGCTATGATAGGGCTGGGAAGGGATGATAAAATTGATCGTATCTCAGGAAGAAGAGAAGGAGAAGGGTGAGGAATATACAAAGATACAAAAGAAATGTCTAAGGTACGAACAGCAACAGTTTTAATCTGATCGCTGTGGGTAGGAAGAGGAATTTGGGAGAATGGGAGGGAATGCCGTACAAAGACAGCACTGCCCGCATACCCATCATTCCTGTCATCCCGCAGACAGGAGAAGCCAGGCACCCGAAATCGGGAACCAGGTCTCAGCCATGTCTCCGAAATGGCAACAATCGTGGGTTTATGGAGGTTTATGAGGGAAATTAATTCATGTTTTTTTGAACGTAAGCTTTTACTATTCCATTGAATTAGGGTTATTGGGTCCGTTTTGTAATAATTTAAAAAGTTGGGATAGGTTTTTGGCAACGTTGGGCGGTAGGGGGATTTCGCTACATGGAGCGACAATACTTAGAAGAAATTCAGAAATAAATTCTAACATTTTGCCCTGAGAGGGAAGGGTGTCAACATTATTGTTGAGAGCACAACCATTTGGGAGGGATGAGGGGCACTCACCAACAATAGTCTGGTGAGCTGTTCTATCGTACCCCTTTGCTAGAGGAGCTTGGGGACGAGGGGAGCGATAAATTGTTTGGCGATAGGAAGTATTGGTAGGAGTTTGGGCTTTTTGAGGAGATTTTAGAGAATAGGCAGGAGGGGTAAACATTTCTTTTGTTATCTCAGCATATGAACGTCGGACAGGAGGAAACTTAATTGCTGCTTCAACGTATGAGATGTTGTCCTGGGACATCACCATTTTTATGGATTGCTGTCGAGTAAATTCTGGACAGCCCTTATCAGAAGCAAAATGTTTGCCTGAGCAATGTAAACATGTGGATGTTTCTAAGGTGACTTCACACGTATCACCTGTATGAGGCTGAGCACACTTGTAACATCTGGGCTTAGATCGGCAGATCGATTTGATATGTCCAAAACGGCAGCAGTTCAGGCACTGTATGGTAGGAAGTTTGTAGGTTTCGACAGGGAGGGAAGTGTGGTAGGAGTAAACCTTGGCAGGGAGCATTTGCCCCCTGAAGGTAAGGACGACAGATTGGGTAGGCACCCAGGTGGTGACACCCTCAGTAACTGTTTTTCGGTTCAGTCGCCTTGACTTTAATACCTCACCACATCCAGGAGGAAGCTCTAATGAATTTACGAGTTCGTCCATTGACCAGTCCACCGGTACACCTCTGACCAACCCCATTCTGGTTATGTTATAAGTGGGGATAATAGCTTTAAACTTGCACATACTAAGAACCGGGTTGACCAGAAAGTTGTTGGCAGCTTCAGCAGAAGAAAACTCAACGGTGATTTTATTACGGCCTACATTTTTTACACCATCGTGTATGATAGAACTAATTTTGTGCTTATGCATAAACTGGCCGAATGTAATAGCACGTAAAGAGGCTCCGGAAGATGGGTCTTCTACTTCACGGGAGACTTGGATAATGAACGGACCTTTATCTTCATTAGAGTAAGACCGAGGGCCATCGGAGAAGGAGGGGTGGACATAAAGGTGCTGTATAGACGGGTTCGCCTGAGCGGGATCCGTAATAGTTTTTTTAGAGGAAGGTACATTTCTCTCCTCTCCTTGTCGTTTGCGAGACATAGAAAGAGTTCCCGGGTCAGGAGGCTCGGGGTCAGGATCTAGATCCATATTAGTAGAACTGCAGCAACTATATTAATTTAAATTTTATACTTTACCAGCACCAATAGGGTTAGTTTTATCTAAATAGCACAATAACAACTATTTCAGCTTAGGAAAATCCCAGAAACACCTAGAAAAACACGAAAATCTCACTAACACGTGCGTCAACCAAAGCTAACGCGAGCGAAATCAAAAATTAGGTTTCAAGTTTCGATGAAATTTTTAAATTCTCGTTGAACTGCACTAAATGCATTATATTCCTTGTTATTAGTGTTTAATTTGCATTTGTTCATGAAATGTCCGAATTGTTTACATTTAAAGCATTTGACATTGATATTTGACTTGCCGACATTACGCGATTCCGATTGTCTATGCGTTTGTTTTCTTTTTTGTTGCCAACATTTCGACGCAAACGCATTCTGTGTAGAACTCGTACCAACTTCACTACCATCTTCCATATCCAATAATTTTGACTTAATGACGTCGGCAGTTAACTCATTACTCAATACCTGAATGCTCCACCGCCATTATCATTGGTTCAAATTTTTCTGGTAATCCTGCTAACAACAAAGACCCGATCCACTCGTCACTAATTTTGAATCCTGTGTTATTCAATCGCTGGCTTGTTTCTAACAATGAAGTCACATATTGTGCCATAGAATCACAATTTTCACGACGAATTGATATGAGGTTGAGGTTACGAAGTAGTCTGATGCGTCGCGTGAAGCCATTATCATCAAATAGCTTTTTTAGTTTCTGCCATAGTCCCATTGCAGTTGATTCACTTTTTATATGCACGAATAAACTGGGATCTATAGTTAACACTATTTTTGCTTTTGCTTTCGCGTCATTCGGATCATCTTCGGTCGTGATACACTGTTGCACGCCTTCCAATACGAGATAATTTTCCACAGCAAATGCCCAATCTTCGTAATTTTCTCTGCCCCTTAACTTTGCAATACTAGCAATAAGGTTTGTCGACATTTTTGCACTATATTTCCACCAAACAATTTTTTTTTTATTTAATTCACGTGATAGCCCATAACCTGTAAAATGATACGCACAGAGGTCGGGTAACAACTGAGTACTGACTCTTTATTGTAAAATAATATTAACACATAGTCTAGCAGATGGAGCTAGTAGGTATATGATATTTTGTTATACATTTCAACACTATTCTTTGAATTTTTATTATAAATATTGTAACCTGGTATTTTAAATGTGTTATCTTTGAACCACGTTTTGTTAAGTAGGCATATATCAATGTTATGTTGTTTCAAGAATTGAATGAGCAGGGGTTTTTTACTATTGGCACTTTGAATGTTGTATTGAGCAATACGTAGCTTAGATTGTGTAGGACCTAGATCCATTATTTTAGATTTTTAATTAAGATATCCCTAATTGTTTTCACTGTAGTAGGTGAATTATCACCCTTATTGCCTAGCTCCACCAATGTCTGTACAAGGGCCATAAGTACATCATTGTTAGAGACAATTTGATTTTTAATGTCTTGTTGTTTATTTACATTATCTATATTGTATTTACAGGATTATTTACAGAATTATATACAGGCTTATTTACAGATTTATTTACATTATTATATACAGGTGTTTTTGATGTTGGTAGTGGTGGAAAGTCATTGTCATTTATTTGTTTAGTTAAGGTAGCACTTGCATAAGTAATTTTCGTCTTTTTTCCATAATTTTCTTCATTTTAATTGGACATACTTTTGAAATAGCTAGATGAGGTCCGCTGCAATTAACACAACAGATTTCAGTTGGCTTGTCGCATTCCTTATATAAGTGCTCACCTCCACAAATTGAACATTTTTGTTTTCCGTTACAGATTTTTGCTGAATGGTTAAACTTGAAACATATGAAACATTGCTGTAATGGTGGTATATAATCAAAAACTCTATAAGAGAATAAATCATATTGAATATTGTCTGGTAGAATATTGGATAGAAATGTGATGCTTACAGTTTGTAAAGGAACATATTCATGACCTACTTTTTTGTGAATCTTCAGATTGCAATAATTTCATAAATTGACGTTAGCCTACTGTACATCTACTCTTTATTTGAAATGTTAGTGGGAACGAATCTTATGATTCCTGTCTTTTCTATCTGCGCAGCAGGAATGGAAGCTTTCATGTCGTATTTTTTTTAAGAATGATGCATTGTTGATAAAGTTATTTGCTGTATTATATTGTTTAAATATAACTGCAATTTTACTGGCATTCACTCTTTGAATTGCCGTCACACCTTTAATTTCAGTTGAAAAAGTATATGGGGCTCTTGTTGCCCAGTCTGTCCTTATTGGTAGATTCGACAAATACTTTAAAGTCAGTATTAACAGAGTTTTCCGGATACAGTGTTTTATAATTAGGTTTGAAAAACGGTAAATAGGAGTCATTTCGCTCACCGCCAACGCCAGAGTCCGCCTTGGAGTCACCACCACGATCCTCCACGCGAGGACGTTTATTTGAGGTGGGCGGGTTATCCCCGCCCCCCTCGTTACCCTCCATTTCTAACAGACACCACCTCTAAATTCTGATATTTATACTAAATTTTAAGCTAAAATAACTAAAATTAATAAAAACTTAAAATGTAATGCGCTCTTTTTGGAGTTCCCGCCCAAAAAAAAAACCTTTCTGTTTCGTTCGTTCCACGACCGAACCCGAATCGACCACAGAGTCAAACGGCAGTCATAGAAACGAATGTCAAAGATTTCTTTAATATTTATTATTAAGAAGTTTTAAATGTTTAAAGTGATATAATATACTACTTTCAATAATAATAATAATGACTATGGAGTCATTATTATTATCGACCATTGAATAGTCGTTAATTTATAGATCTAGCAACATTGACAAATTAAATAAACCATTCGTATTATGATTCTTAAGTTGGCGGGGGGAAATTAATTTTTTTTGCACTTTTTTTTGGCTCTATCAACTGTTCTTCATTGTTCTATCAAAAAAAAATTTTGTTCGTTTTTTTTTTTTTTAATTATAAAAAAATTTACCCTCAATTTGGCACGAACTATAGATATTTTGATATTTTTTTTTTCTAATAGTTTAGAACTATTCAATAACTGTTCGTTCAAAATAAACAACTGTTCGGCTTTCATTATCCTGTAATTTTAACTTTTTTTTATAAATCTTAATTAAATGTTATTGCGCATGCGCAGTATCAATGCGCATAGTTCTCATAAATTATGCGCGGCCTATTTGAATTCGATTCAAAGAGACAACACAACAATAACAGCAGCAACAACAAAATCATCATCATCACCCGGTTTTTACTTTTATTTATATTTTGTTATTTTATACAAACAAAATGAACTCTTTCTTAACATCTAAAGTCGTATTTCTTGTACTTATCCATTCTTTTAACATTCCTGATTAAATATATTGATTGAGAAAAATAGAAAAGGATTAGTCCTATGCGAAAAGGATTAGTCCAATGGATAAAGCGTGGCAACACCGGCGTTGACTCACTTTTATTTCTAGACTTAGTGCGAACGGACATGTTACTAACCTAACCTCAGTAGATTTTAAAAGTCTAAAGTACCTACACGTTCTAATCTTTTGTGTTTCCTAATATCAGAATTGGGATTTGAACTTTTCGCTCACTTCTCTTTTGTTTTGTTTTGAGTAATCTTTGTGGTTTAAATTTTCCTTCTCTTTGTATCCGTAATGTACGAAGTCACGAGTGATTAACATTTTAAAAAGTGCTCTTTGTGTTAAAGTGTTGTTTGTGTTTGTTTGTTTGTCATGAGAGTGCAATAGTGTCGCATTAAATTCGGGATCGTCTAGTCGGCAAGGTAGACGAGAGATGCTTTGACAGAGGACGGCCGAACGGTTGAAGAACAGTCAAATCAATCAGGACACTGTCGTTAATGTGGGTCGTAGACCCCCCTCTTGTAAATTCCAGAAGGATGATCTGGTCTTTGTTATTAAGAACATGCAAAGGTATGGGTTTCTGTTTTAAATTTTTGTGGTGCTAATGTGTTTAGACCACTTTGAGAACATACAAGTGTATGGGTCTCTCTTTTACATTTTTCTGGTGCTAATGTGTTTAGACCACTTTGAGAACATACAAGTGTATGGGTCTCTCTTTTACATTTTTCTGGTGCTAATGTGTTTAGACCACTTAGAGAACGGTAAAAAGATCAATGGACAGGGTAACCAGCCCCAAACTCACGATCTTCCTGTATAAATGGTAACAAGATCAATGGACAGGGTAACCAGCCCCAAACTCACGATCTTCCTGTATTAATGGTAACAAGATCAATGGACAGGGTAACCAGCCCCAAACTCACGATCTTCCTGTATTAATGGTAAAAAGATCAATGGACAGGGTAACTAGCCCCAAACTCATGATCTATAAGTATAACGGGCGCTGTCCCGAAAGATGTGTTCTTTGAACACATATCAGGCGCAGGCCTGGCAGCCTTAGTGCTGTTGCTCTTTTGAGAGTATAACGGGCCCTGTCCCGAAAGATGTGTTCTTTTAACACATATTAGGCGTAGTCCTGACAGCCTTAGTGCTGGAGCTCTTTTGAGAATGTTACGGGCGCTTTCCCGGAAGATGTGTTCTTTGAACACATATCAGGCGCAGTCCTGACAGCCTTAGTGCTGGTGCTCTTTTGAGAATGTTCCGGGTGCTGACCTGAAAGATGTATTCTTTGAACACATATCAGGCGCAGTCCTGACAGCCTTAGTGCTGGAGCTCTTTTGAGAGTATTACGGGCGCTGTCCCGAATGATGTGTTCTTTGAACACATATCAGGCGCAGTCCTGACAGCCTTAGTGCTGGTGCTCTTTTGAGAATGTTACGGGTGCTGACCTGAAAGATGTATTCTTTGAACACATATCAGGCGCAGTCCTGACAGCCTTAGTGCTGGTGCTCTTTTGAGAGTGTTACGGGCGCTGTCCCGAATGATGTGTTCTTTGAACACATATCAGGCGCAGTCCTGACAGCCTTAGGGCTGGTGCTCTTTTGAGAGTATTACGGGCGCTGTCCCGGAAAATGTGTTCTTTGAACACATTTCAGGCGTAGTCCTGACAGCCTTAGTGCTGGAGCTGTTTTGAGAATGTTACGGGCGCTTTCCCGGAAGATGTGTTCTTTGAACACATATCAGGCGCAGTCCTGACAGCCTTAGTGCTGGTGCTCTTTTGAGAGTATTACGGGCGCTGTCCCGAATGATGTGTTCTTTGAACACATATCAGGCGCAGTCCTGACAGCCTTAGTGCTGGTGCTCTTTTGAGAATGTTACGGGTGCTGACCTGAAAGATGTATTCTTTGAACACATATCAGGCGCAGTCCTGACAGCCTTAGTGCTGGTGCTCTTTTGAGAGTGTTACGGGCGCTGTCCCGAATGATGTGTTCTTTGAACACATATCAGGCGCAGTCCTGACAGCCTTAGGGCTGGTGCTCTTTTGAGAGTATTACGGGCGCTGTCCCGGAAAATGTGTTCTTTGAACACATTTCAGGCGTAGTCCTGACAGCCTTAGTGCTGGAGCTGTTTTGAGAATGTTACGGGCGCTTTCCCGGAAGATGTGTTCTTTGAACACATATCAGGCGCAGTCCTGACAGCCTTAGTGCTGGTGCTCTTTTGAGAATGTTACGGGCCCTGTCCCGAAAGATGTGTTCTTTTAACACATATCAGGCGCAGGCCTGGCAGCCTTAGTGCTGTTGCTCTTTTGAGAGTATAACGGGCCCTGTCCCGAAAGATGTGTTCTTTTAACACATATTAGGCGTAGTCCTGACAGCCTTAGTGCTGGAGCTCTTTTGAGAATGTTACGGGCGCTGTCCCGGAAGATGTGTTCTTTGAACACATATCAGGCGCAGTCCTGACAGCCTTAGGGCTGGTGCTCTTTTGAGAGTATTACGGGCGCTGTCCCGGAAGATGTGTTCTTTGAACACATTTCAGGCGTAGTCCTGACAGCCTTAGTGCTGGTGCTCTTTTGAGAGTATTAC